TTTTACTTACATTGTGCAAGACTTAATATTCTGCTTGTTTTGGTGCCAAAATAAAAATGATAGCAAAGTAGATGAAAAGAAATACAATTGCTTGTAGACCTCAAAAATCTCTTCTTTCTGTAAATAAATCATAGAGTACAAAATTTTAATCAATGAGTAGATAAGATCCAAGAAACGAGCACCTGCTTTATAGAGTTTCCTCTCTTCTGTAATGCATAAAGAGCTCCTCTGGCATAACTTCCCCAGCTACATTCCTCCTGTGAATTTGAATCAGTTAACTTGGCAGCACTTTTGGGCAGTTGTTCTTCATTTACACTGTGAACCCATAAAACACGCAAACAAATTTTTTTAATCTCATGAGTACCATAGTTTCTTTTTTTCTTTTTCCCAAAACGATAGATAATATTATATATCAAAATGCACAAATGTGCGAATACACAGCAGCCAACAGCTGATAAAGTGAGTACCATAATTTCTTGTTGGGATTGTTTTTATAAGTGAGTAAAATTTAAAAACAATAATGTGATAACCTGAATCTAACTTCTCCCTTGAACTGTGCTGACTGTATTAGAACCTACAAAAGGATAGCAACAACAGTGCCAATAAGACTACAACTGCAACAAAAACAATAATAAAGGAAACGAGTTTCAAAACAAAATTCTGCAAACGTGCACCCTTAAAATCAGAGCATGACAAGAAACCCAAGAAAGACAAGAAGAATATTCCTTTGGAAAAACAAATTTTGAATATGCATAATTTCAGTATCCATACTTCTCGCTACTTAACCCCTAAAATACGCACAATGATATTCCCGATCAATCATGAAGCCTAGAATAAAGTATCAAACAAGATGTCATTTGCACTTGTCTACAAAGCAGACCCATTATGTTTCACCTTGTCCCACAGTCCAAAATGTTCCCTAAGATCATCTTTTTTTTTTCTTTCCTTTTCTTTGTTCTTTGATGAATCCTAAGCTTTGGACTGATCTCATGTACTTCGTAGGGCATTAATTAAATAACTTCATAATGTTTCCACCCTTCTTCTCCTTACCATTGATATTAAACCATAGTAAAGTAAGTGTCATACCTGAGAATCTTCAGAAGGAACAAATCCAAGGAGTATACCCTTATTGATGGTCATAGCTGAAACAATTCCACCCTGTTAACAATTAGAAAATGACTACCTGAGTCATAATTCAAGTATACTATTGTTCCTAACAGGCAACTGTAAAATAAAATTGTCCATCAGCTCAAAACTCACAGATTCATGTGACATCGATCTAGTGCATAGTTTAAACATCAATAACCCAGAAAAATGAATCATGTATAATAATGCCACAAAGCACGTACCTGATGATCAATATGAGCTCCAAGAGGACAAATCCTATAAGGAGATGCAACAACTCGGACTTCCTTAGAATCTTTTCCAGATATTTCAGCAACTTTTGTTCTGATTGCATTCAACTGCAAAAGCAACACACGAGGACTATTGAACTAAACTATACTAAGTACAAATGAAAAAAAGGAACTTGAAGCATTTTATGATGTGAACTGGCTCATCCTAGGCTTGCAATATATAAAATGAAAAATCAGTGTTGAGACAGAAAAGAAAAGGAGAAAATCAGACTATATAAAGCTAAGTAAACAATTGCGTAGCTAAAGGATATGTCAAGTTACATTGGTTCCAAACTAATGCCCACATGGGCTCAAGTTATATCAGCTAATGAATAGTTTATCTTCATCCCTTTAAAACTTGCTACATTCTTTGCACATTGTATTTGGATAAACATAGAACAAGTTAACCCACTCTACGCAGTAAAAGCTTTAAACACAAGATACATAACAGCAAATATTCCAAAGCCTTTAAAGATCAGAGCTTTTTTAAGCACACTATTAAAATTCATACACGCTACACTGGTTTAACTTATCAGTTATCAGCATTACACACATTCTGTACTCACTCGCGGGACATGAAATCTAACAGTAAAGAACTCTAGAAAATCGGTTCAGATAATTAACTCCCAAAATCGCAGTCGCCCATCATAGCCTATTACCAAACCAACCAAATTTTCACTGAAAACGCCATTTTCACAAGGGATCAAAATTTTACCTCCGATTCAGAAGGCCACCGCATTGCGCCCATCCTCTCCCGAAAGGAATCCAAATCTTCTATTCCAATGGTCTTTCACGAACTGGGCTGTCTCGCTCGTACTATCTCTGTTTGTGTTATTAGAGAGAAATGTGTTTGTTATTAGAGAGAGAGAGAAGAGATAAAGTGAAGGTGAAACACATTTGTTAACAAAATGCAATGATTAATTTTGATTTGAGGTTCGAAGAGAAATTAGTTGATCAGTTATATTTCCATATCGTTTTCGATTTTTAAGTGGCAGTTGGCACCATTCGTGTGGTACAAAATGATAAATATCTAGGGCATGTTTCTGTACAAATATATCTGTTTAAAATGAATTTTTTGACTAACAAAGTTGATAAAAGTGATATGATTAATTGTTAGTGGAATTTTGAGTTTATATTAAAATAATATTTAAAATAAAATAATTAAAATTGATTCAATATAAAAAAAGTAGGAAAGATTGATGTGGAGTGATGATTAATTAAAATTATGTGAATAGATGAATAATGAATTATAGATAATGTGATGTGTAAGAATGTTTGTTGATATATTAAATTGATAATATTGAAGATAATATGGTTGAATTAAAGTTGAGTTAATAGTGAAAAATTTTATAAACAAATACCTCCTCTAGGCATTTCAGAAACTTAAAGCTACCCTCTCTAAAAAAACTTGAAATCCAAAATCTCCCAAATCCGCCCTCGACCTCGTCCTTTTCTTCTGATGTGCCTTCCCTCAGCGGGCTCCAACGCTATTCGGGGTAGCCGACACCTTACGGGGTTTCGTAACTCCAGCATGGTGGATGTCCCTTCGCACCTGCATGGGTTTCCGCAGAATCCCAACGGCCATGGCGGGTTGTGGAGGGGCTTCTGTCGGAAGGTCGGTGGTGTCGCCGCCTCTGATTATTGTCTGATGTTGGTCGGAGCAGAGACCGGTGTTCTCTCTTCCCTCACGTTTGGCCCTATTCCTGGTGTTGGGGGGATCGAGTGCTTCGACGGCTGCGCCGAGCTGTGGTTGCGGTCGTACTTGGCCGGTGCTGCCGGTTGGCGTGGAGGGTGGGGTTGGTCGTGGGTCTCCGGTCGCTGCGGCGTGGGTGTTCTTTTGGGGAGAGGTTGGTCTGCTTTGGGTCCGGTCTAAATAGTCGTCGTTGGAGTTTCTAAATCTGTCCTGGGCTTGCGGTCTCATGTGATTGCCTTCGGGTGTTGGGTCAACGTATGGTGTATCGGTGTTCTGTCCCGACGGGCAGAGAGAGCTTTCTCTTTCGTTTTCTTCTTTTAGTTGTCTTTGTGGCTTAGGTTGTGTTTGTTTTTGTTTTGTTTCTTTCTCCCAGTTGATTTATAATTGTAATTATGCGTTTGTTGTTTATAAAATA